TTATTATTATTATTATTATTATTATTATTATTATTATTATATTAACCAATGTAAATGACTGGCACCAGGTTTGTGCCCACTGGCTACAACTGTTTCTTTCTTGGTTGGAAACTTGTTGTGGACTGGCAGCCAATGGTTCATAGACAGCACTTTTCCATGAACCACCAGAACAAAGCCCAGAATAATTTGCTATGCACAGTAGTTCTTTTGCAGCTAGCTTAATATGGAAAGAGGTCCCTAAAAGCAGAAAGACTGAAAAATGTTGCTTTGGGTTGACACTCTGGTATCATCTCTACTCCTTATGCCTACCTGCTTTCATCTACAAACTGGAATTAACAAGAGACTACTTCTGTCCTAATACACCCTAAATATAGGCTGTTATTTTGGAATTTTTCCACATAGATGTTTGGATTATCTGGCCTTGTCCATAACAACAGTCAGCAGGCATGTGAAATGTAAATTAGAATTAATTTTTAGTTGCTAAATTTGTCAAAATAAAGAAACTTTGTATTGATCTTTGTCTTGAGGCCCAATTACCTGGATTAAGTGCTTTTATTACATGAAATACTGAGTATGGTATTTAATGGCTTGGCATTGATTTGTAGGAAATTGCATGTGTAAAACTAAAGCCAGTAAGTAAAGATGGTGAGAAAGTGATTCATTATTTTAATATACCATTTTAAAAACCTGACATGCTCACACGTACGCACAGACATTTCAAAAAATATCTCTGTGGCTGTAAGCAATATTTATATACATTGGATACTACTATTATAGTCACTTTAACTCTTCCATACCTCCTTCCACAAAGACACCCCAATTTTCCCTTCCTTTATGGAGCCCCAGATACACACTGAGGCCTGAATCTGAACAGTAGTTTTACCTACAGTAGACCCACTGACTCAATTACTGAATGGTGAGTTAATACTTATTTTAAACTTGTAAATTCAGTGGATATATTCTATTTGGGGCTAACCACAGGATGCAAGCCATTAAAAAACCACCTAGAAAACCATTCATTGTAAGGAATCTGGGTTTGTGGGAGAAGGCTGTTGCTGCTTAGTAGTGTACATGTTCAGCGATTCTATACAAAATACTGCATTTGATCTGGGGGTACCATCCTGTGGACAACTTTGCCCAGTCTGTGGATGAATTCCTTCCTGAATCCCTTCCAACATTCTATGGCAGAATTGACCAGAAGGCTATTTCCAGTCACCCTCTCCTTCTCCTTTCCTCCCTCCCACTCCGCCTCTCTTACACATTTTCACTTAAACTTAGAAATGAGGCATACATCTTATTTTAAAGTAAATTACACTTTCTGAAGCATGTTTTCCCTTATTGTAATACAAACAATATGGAAATGGTGGTAAAGATCATGACGTCACAAAATGAGCAGAGGGGCACGTGTTGTTCATCTTAGCTTTAAAAAGAGGGAAGGGGGCATTTGAGGAGTGTTTGTGTAAATCTGCAAGAAACATGGCAGCCATACGTCTTCCACCATTTTCTAACCCATAAGATCCGTTTCAGAAAGCCAGTGTGGCATATTGGTTTGAATGTTAGACTATAACTCTGGAGACCAGCGTTCAATTCTCAGCCATGAAATCCACTGGGTGACCTTGGGCAAGTCACACTCTTTCAGCCTCAAAGGATGGCAATGACAAACTCTCTTTGTAGAAGTGAAGTCATAGGCTTTCATGGCCAGCATCCATAGGTTTTTTTGTGGGTTTTTTCGGGCTGTGTGGCCATGTTCTAGAAGAGTTTCTTTCTGACGTTTCACCAGCATCTGTGGCTAGCATCTTCAGAGAAAACTTTGCAGAAGTTTCTCTTTGCAGAAACTGAGAAAACCCTATAGTAGGTTCATCTTTGGGTCACCATAAGTCGGAAACAATTTGAAGGCACGCAACAGCAACAGCAACAATGAAGATCTGATTCACAACACATAAATGACCACAATCTAGTTATCACAGATGCTTTCAGTGAACATTCTTTTGTTGCTTTTGATTACAAGTTTGTACCAACTTGCTAAATATTCAGGAGTATTTTATTCTAACCAATAAAGCAGGGGTTAGGGAGACATGGTCCTCCAGAGGCTGCAGGAGTACAGCTCCCATTAGCCTTAAGCTCTATAGCCAGTAATAAAGAGTGATGGAGAATTACAGAAAAATAATATAAATTAACATTTCCCTCATCCCTGCCCACAGGTGGCCCTAGGTTTGCAGGTTGCCGACCCCTGCCTGAGGGCAGGGAACTCTCAAATTAACAAGTTGTAAGCCACTCTGAGAGCTTTTGTGGCTGAAGTGTGGGGTGTAAATATTCTAAATAAATAAAAAAGTGTGTGACCACCTCCTCTGTGGGTCAGATGAAGCTGTGGACCATAGCCTTTGTGGAGAGGAGAAGCAGAAAGGAAGGCTTCTTGTCTTCAGGGATTCCAGGCCCCCTTTTTGTTCTCTCCCACTAAAAAGAACAGACTTAGAAACAGTTGACCTTGTCCAGTTTGTGCCTTGTTTTAATTACAGAAGAAGTCAGGAAAAAGATGGAAATGTCTTTCTGTCTCATTGTTCAGTAAGTGAACATGTGTCCAAGGCATAGTTCTATAGTGTGACAGCAAATCAAAATTTATCATGAGATTATCTCTAGTAGCTGCAGTATGTCCATGCTCTCTAAGTAAATGTACCATGCAGATGACCCTCCTGATATTTTCTGGACTTCCGCTCTCAGCATTTTTCACTATGGGCTATGCTGGCAAGGGCTACTAGAAGTTGCAGCCCCCAAACACTGGGGGGACTACAAGGTTCTCATTCCTATATATCATGCATTTTCTATATTATATTCTTAACAGTGCACTGAGAGTGAAATGCATGAAGTGTTTCTTAAGGTCCAGTTAACATGCCAATAAATGCAAAGATGCTGGAATGACCAGGCACGTGGCACTTCTCTTCAAGTGCAATTTTTAAAATGTGACTTTGTGACATAGCTTTTTTTTTATTATTTCAGAAAGGAAACAACCCCAAACCAATCATAGTGCCAGTTTTCAGAATGGTGCTGTTTTGCACTGCTTTCACAATGCCCCTCTGTGCAACATTTCTGGTTGGGGGATCAGGCCTGTCACTGTTTCCCCTGTAAACCAGCTAAAGGCTTTTTTCTGAAGTTTCCTTGCCAATCTTTGCCCTTGGCCTGGACTGATGCTGCAGCTCTTCCTCTTGCTAAAGCCAGCCCCACTGGGCTCCAGCCTCCCATCCACTTAATAATGTGGTTAACATCCTGCTTCTCCACTCATTTTTCCAGGCAGTGGTTTCAATTACGTCTCTCTGCGAGCTCCTGAATGAATTTGTTTTCTCTGGATCCTGGTGCTGTATTTAAAGGCGTCTCACGTTTGGGGGCCTGCGATCACTGATGCGTTTGTTTGAAGGGGATGAATCAGTCTTCTGAGTCTAACCACGTCCAATCTCGGCAATCGGGTTTCACTGAAGGCTTTTTTTTAAAAATAGTATTTTTTAAATAGTATTTTTTTCCTCCCAATAATAACAATG